ATTTGTTACTGTGTTAAATATAATTAATAATTAATATTTATTATTTTTTTATTAACATCTCAAAATCTGATAATTATATTAATTTTAATTAATTTAAAATCGAATGGTGTCAAACCTCGTTAAAGAGAAATTTTTTGAATACATACTTCTTCATTTATAAAATTTGAACCGAAATCTTGAAATCTCAATACTTTATTTAAAAGCAATCGAAACTTATTCCATTTGAATCAATAAATTATTTATATAATTAATATTTATTATTAATAAATTAAAATTAATATATAAATTAATATTTTTAAATATTATAATTGTAAATTTATAATATAATAAAATTAGTTAAATCTAACACAATTACTATACTTTTTTTGGCTTAACAAAACAAAACGTTGGGTGGATTAATGCGCTAAATCAAATGGCCGGAAATGTACAAGAAGTGGTGATCTAATCGGCATCATTGGATTTGGAGCTCGTCGATCGGCTTCCAAGGAGTCTTCTCATCCACTTCTCCTGCGAAGTAGTCGGCGATTGTCCCGGCAACGGAAGCTCAGCGGGAAGGGCAGCAGCAGTGTTCGTGAATGCATCAAGAACCAGGAACGCCAGTATCGGAGAGAGGTCCAATGTCCCTGCTAGCGGTGGAATGATTCCGCGGAATAAGTTCAGATAAGGGTCACACAAAGTGCTGAATCCAAAAGAAGAAGAAGAAAATGAGTGCACAAATATATAAAAACTATTTGCTAAGAATTTGGTATCGAGAGATTGATACCTGAGGGGGTTGACGATGACGGGTGGAGAGTTAGGGAACCAGGTCAAAATCAGCCTGACAATCAACAGCGTATTGTATATGTTTAAGAAATTCAGGATTCCGTTCGCCACCACCAATCCGGCCGCTGAATCTCCGGGTAAAACCGCTGCAAAATTGTGTTCCGAAAACGAGAAATTCACCTTTTTCCTGTATTCGTTCCTGCAAGTAACAATCTGTGGAAGATTTTGATTTAATCGAACACTCAGATCTCTAACGAACGGCGACTATTAGTTCCGACGAGAGTCAGACATACCTCGTTGCAGAAACTTTGAAACTCAGAGGATAAACGGAGGACTTTTCTGAAAACTGGATTCTGAGAAGCGAAAGAGTTAAGACCTTTCACGAACTCATCCGCGGCGGAAACAATCGAGTTATGAAGGTCGCGAATGATAGTCTGAGGAACAACCGGCACGGAATTGCGTTTCGACGGCCTCAAAAAGGGCGGCGCAAATGGTGTTTGAGAAAATGCCGAGGAGAACACTACAGAGTTCTTCACCAAATTGAATGCTTCAGATTTTGTCTTCTCCGCCGCATTCACGCTAACAACCATCTTGAAGCCGTGAAGTTCAGAAGCCGCCCGAAGCAGAAGCGGAAGAAGAAGAAGATAGGATTTGCATTTTAGGAAGCGTTCGTTCTGGAACCCCCAAACGCAGCGTTTCATTGCTTACCTGCTCTCCTCCGATTGGCTACAGCCTGGGCTTGCGTGCCATTTTGACCACAAGATAAAGTTAGACTGTGAACCTCACGAAAGGATATATCAATTTGACGTGGCAAATTCTAATCAACGGCCGCCTCCTACATCATTACCGGTCATCGTCGACCTCGTCTTCCTCCGCTCTTTCTCTGCGGTTTTTTGATTCATCAGCCGAAGCTCTTCTTTCTTATGAGCTTGCAATGGCGATTCATCAGTTGAGACTCTTTCTTTCATCTCAACCGAAGCTCTGTTTCGGTTATAGCATAAATCTCGATGTTCGCCGCTTTGACTTCCCTAATCCATGCCGTCGTAGCATTCTGTTGCCGAAACGGAGGCGTTTTCGTCATCGATCACGCTCAAACTCTAATTTCGTTCTCTTCAATTCACTCGAAGCTGTGCCTCTGCCGCAGAACGTGCCTTTTAAGTCGGAGAAACAAGATTCGCCGATTCTTCTCGATGTAGGAGGGATGATGTGCGGTGGGTGCGTATCCCGAGTCAAATCGGTGATCGCCTCCGACGAGCGAGTTGAATCTGTCGTGGTCAACATGTTGACTGAAACAGCGGCGATCAGGTTGAAGCCAGAGGTTACGGAGAGTGAAGCTGTGGAGAGTGTCGCCGAGAGTCTAGCTCGGCGCGTGACAGAGTGCGGGTTTTCGGCGAAGAGGAGGGTTTCCGGGCTGGGAGTTGGTGAGAATGTGAGAAAGTGGAAGGATATGTTGAAGAAGAAAGACGAGTTGCTTGTGAAGAGCAGGAACAGGGTGGCTTTTGCCTGGACTTTGGTGGCACTCTGCTGTGGATCGCACGCTTCTCATATTTTGCATTCTTTCGGGATTCATATTGCTCATGGTAATATACTTAAGGATACTTTGAAGTTAATAGCGTCCTAGTTATCACTTTACTTTCCATTTCTTGAGAAGTGTGATTTACTTGAGTTGGCATAGGAACTTTTTGGGAGGTGCTCCATAATTCATATGTGAAAGGTGGATTGGCTTTGGGTGCTTTGCTGGGACCGGGAAGAGGTAAAGTTACTATTTTTTATTTTATTCTGTATGGTTGAAGGATTTTATTCACACACAAAACTACTTAGCTGCATAGGTTGTGAGTTTGTGCCACATTTCCCTAACCGGTCATATTTCTTCTGTGACACACGAAGATTTTATTCATAGTTCTCTGAAGCTTTAATTTGCTTTTGAAGGATAATATTTTGCTCTTCACTGCATTGAGTAAACAATAACTGAATTCAAAGCTTTCAAAAAATGTGTTGCAGACTTACTGTTTGATGGATTAAGGGCATTCAAGAAAGGATCACCCAATATGAATTCTCTGGTGGGATTTGGATCAGTTGCTGCATTTATCATTAGTGCGGTGAGATTATTTCTTTCATTTTGATCTCATAGATGTTGTTCGGTTGTTTAATCCTGGAATCATTGTGATAATTTATATTCATTTTCTTTTATTCTTGTAGGTCTCTCTCATCAATCCAGGGCTTGAGTGGGATGCATCGTTTTTTGATGAACCGGTGATTATTTTATGTGCTTTTTCATGATTATATAGCATTCTCCTTAACATTTTAAGCCAAAAAACCAACCAAAAAAAAAAAAAGGGACAAAAAAACGAAAAACTAGGCTATGCAATAGTCATTCATTCTAGTTTGTGAAGAACCTTACAAAAGATAAAATACAAGCCTACATATGTGAGAAGAACAGCACAAACTTGATTTTTTTTGGCCACTAACTAATTCCTCATGGAAGGCTCGCTTTTTGTAGTATGCAGGTCATGCTTCTTGGTTTTGTGCTTCTTGGACGTTCTCTGGAAGAAAAGGCAAGGATTAGGGCATCTAGTGACATGAATGAACTTTTAGTAAGTTATAATGAGCCTATATCTGCAGTTTGAACTTTTAATGAATAAATGCAATGCTTGCTTGGGATACTATTCACTTGTTTCAAGTTTTGTTGAGCCAAATAACTACTTGGCTGAACACCAAAATGTAACCCTCTTTCTTTTACATACGCATAAAATCCCTTATATTGTAAGTGCATAATGTTAAAATTTTTCCTATCTGTGACTTCTAAACTTCACTAGTTGTTTTCATTAAATGTATGACTGTTTTCATTAAATGTATGACTTTGTGGTTTCCCCAGTCATTGATTTCCACTCAGTCAAGACTTGTAATTACTTCATCAGAAAGTGATTCATCTGGTGCTGCTGTACTTTGCTCTGATGCAATTTGTGTTGAGGTCCCAACAGACAATATCCGTGTTGGAGACTCATTGTTGGTTTTGCCAGGAGAAACTATTCCCGTAGATGTAAGTGTTTTGAATATTTTACGAATTTCCACATGATCTGAAGTTTGTCAATTTTTAAACATTTTATGACTGACTGTTATATTTTTGGTACTCACCTAAAGTCAAAAGCAAGAACTCATTGCTCTATATGGTGACCAACTTCACTATATGGTTTTGTAAACCTGCTGTGCTAGTAAAATTGCATTTAATTTCAAGTTGGCTTTTCTTCAAATACCTAAAAAAAGGTCAAAATTATTGTGATTTTGTAATATTTGGTACTTGGTAGAGTTTTCTGTTGTCTCTGTATAACCTTCTATCCAAACCACCAACTTTTGTAATTATACTTTATCTATGTGTTGTGTAGGATGAACTGTCTATGTGATGGCAATTTGTTTGCAAATTTGTAGGATAGGATCATATTGTAGATTCCTCTCATCTATGAAAAAAACATTCCTGCATTCAAATTCAATAAATGCTGAAATTAAAATTCCCTGCATAGGGGAGAGTTCTTGCAGGAAGAAGTGTGGTTGATGAATCCATGCTAACTGGAGAATCACTTCCTGTATTCAAGGAAGAAGGCTTCATGGTCTCAGCTGGAACAATAAACTGGGTATGATAAAACTCTTTAAAGGATGTGAATTGCAATGTTATTGCTTATGCCGTTGTTTTGAACCCAGAACTCAGGGAGTGGATCTTGATTGTTAACATGGTTTTTTGGTTGACATAATTTGTACGTTTTAAGTTCTTTTACACATGTATTAGCTTGCTTGATTGAGTAATTGGATTTTTTGATATATTGTAACTTTGAACTTTCTAATCCAATTTACTATTCCATGCAACCATTAAATCTTTGAGAAGTTTAGTCTCTATTTGGCCCCAAATTGTTTAAGATTTTAGGTAATTGTCTTATTTTATTTCAGGATGGTCCTTTGAGGATTGAAGCATCTTCCACTGGCAGTAACTCAACAATATCTAAGATTGTTCAAATGGTTAGTGTCTCATAAGCCCTCTTTATTATTCATACAAATATGTTTCACATTTGGTGAAAACTGATGATGACTTTTCTATCTAACATCCTTTGGAATAAGTTCATCTCATATAAGATAATGATGATGGTCATTATACTGCCTTTAATCCTCAGATTGAGGATGCTCAAGGCCGGGAAGCACCTGTGCAGAGGCTTGCAGATGGGATAGCTGGGCCATTTGTGTATAGTGTAATGACTCTGTCATCAGCAACTTTTGCTTTCTGGTATGAAGATTGCTTCTTTACTTGTATTAACATATGAGAACCTAATGAGATTCTGGTTTAGTTTTTTAAGATGACTATGGACTTGATATTCCTTTGGAGAAACTAAAGTCACTAATTGCTCTTCCTTTTCTATCATAAGAATAATTGTTAGTCCTTTTCTAAGTCTACAACAGTTGAAAGCATTCACATGATGAGATGGTGTCTTGGTGATGAAAATGATAGTAATTTCTTTAGACAAAGGATAAAGTTTTAGATGCACTTCTTTCTTAGCTATGTTGTCATCACCATCCCCTCTCCAGAAAAAATACCACAAAGTTGCACTGGCAGAGTTGGTGGATTTTATTCTTTTTAATGCAACTGTGATGCCTTGTCTCCTCTATTTAAGCAATGACTTGACCAGTTTTTTAAGTTATGTCATTTTAAGACCAAATGCTCAACATTCAATTAACACATGAATGTAACATCACAGTTCTAATCTTCAACTTAAAAGAAGTCCATGCCATCCTTGCTTATTCTTCTTTGTGCCCTATAGTTGCTTATAAATATTTTTTCAAATTTACCTTGTCTGTTGTGCATAGAGTACTATTTTAATTCGATATGTCTTTGACCTATTGCTTACATATTCAGGTACTATGTTGGTTCACATGTCTTTCCTGATGTTTTGCTCAATGATATTGCTGGACCAGATGGCGATCCCTTGCTTTTGAGCTTGAAACTTGCTGTTGATGTTCTGGTAAGTTTATTAAATTTACATGCTATTCATTTACTTATTCTTCTTGTTCAAATGGACAATCCTAACTAGAATGGACTTGGTAAGTTGAGTTATGGTAGTTGTTTCCAATTGTCATGCATGAAAGTAATCCATAGTGAACTGAAGTAAAAGAAAGTTTAAAAGAGGGGAAACGATTTTTATTTAAAGTTTTTGGTTCATGAACCTTTTTTTTTTTTTAATGTTAGAAAATAAGTTAAAACTCCTTATTGTGCATTTTTCTGCAGAAAGTTGTGGGGACTTGCTTGAACAAAATATTCTCTTTTAAGGAAATAGTTAGGGATCCTTTAATTACAATCAAATATACAGAAAATTAAATAATTGGATATTCAAACTCAAAAAGGGACTCTTGTTTTTGTGATATACAAAAATGCTAATATTGTTGGAAGCACCATGCTGAGCTGACCAGCAATGGCCCTTTTTATAGAGATAATGACTTTCTTAGAGGTTTAAGATAAGTTGGTGTGCTTATAGTTATACTTTGCAGCCCTAATTTTCCTTTTCTTTTTCTTCTTCTTTTTCTTTTTTTTTTTTTGCAGGTAGTTTCTTGCCCATGTGCTCTGGGCCTTGCTACTCCCACAGCTATTCTAGTTGGAACGTCTCTGGGTAAATGTCTTGCTTGTCAATAATCTTTGTGTTTGATTTGATTAGTAGACTAACAATATGCTTTTCATGATCAGTATTGCTAATATGAGTTTGTGATGATTTGTAGAATGTTTAGTTGCTTGTTAACATTTGTTAAGTGAAGTCTCACATTGGAAAATATCAAAATAATGAGAGAACTTGTGTGCTTAAATGTAGTATGCATCACTCTACCTATTGCTAAGTGGTTTTATGTTGGATGCTCATGCTGTAATCAGGCCCACATGTTTATTTAACAAAATTTCACTGGATTATCAACTTTTTATATTGTTCTTTTAGTATATCTGATGATGGTTGTACAATAAGGGAATAGACCTTCCCTTTCCCAAACCCCTTCCCAACCATCATAACAAGCAGAAAACTTGTCAAACTGAACTGTCTGTTTTGCACTGAAAATCATCAGGTGCAAAACAAGGGCTGCTTATAAGAGGAGGAGATGTGCTAGAACGCTTGGCTAGTGTGACTCATGTTGCTTTTGACAAGGTACTTCTACCAAGTAGAAACAAAGGCTACCCCATCCTACTCATTGTCTCTCTCTCACACAGAAGTAGATCAGACTTTTCTGTTGAAATACTATTGATATTTGTTTGGTTTAAACTTCTCACTCTGACCAGACCCACTTTTCCAACCTCCAGACAGGAACCCTAACAGAAGGAAAACCTAGTGTTTCTTCTGTGGCTTCATTTGTTTATGAAGAGACAGACATCCTTAAAATTGCTGCTGCAGTAGAGAGAATGGCAACACATCCACTTGCAAAGGCAATTGTAAATAAAGCTGAATCATTGAATTTGAGAATCCCAGAAACAAGAGGACAACTAGTAGAACCCGGTTTTGGAACCTTGGCAGAAGTAGATGGGTGTCTAGTTGCAGTTGGTAATTTAGATTGGGTTAATGAACGTTTCCAAGTAAAAAGACATGTGTCTGATCTGAGGAGCCTGGAACATAAATTGATGAGTCAGTCGTCATCACCTTCAAAGTATTCAAAAACAATTGTCTATGTTGGATGTGAAGGGGAAGGCATTGTTGGTGCTATTGCAATATCAGACAATTTGCGCCATGATGCTGAATCTACCGTAAGCAGGTAATTTGCTCTTCATTCCTTGGCTTGATTTTCTCATTTAATCCTCTCATTAAGCATTAGAAAATAATTGTTTATCCATATTAGCTCATCTGACCTTATGCACCCTTCTACTTATGTTTCTGATGTTCTTACTTTCTGCCATGTTGGGCGGGTGTTTTATTGCCTAAATTGGAAGGCTCCAGGAGAAGGGTATCAGAACAGTCCTATTATCAGGAGACAGGGAAGAGGCAGTTGCACCCATAGCAAAGACAGTTAGAATAAGTACTGAATTTATCAATGCATCCCTGACTCCACAGCAGAAATCCACAGTGATATCTACTCTTCAAAGTGCAGGCCATCGGGTTGCAATGGTAATCTTTTCTTTTTCAATAAAAAAGATAACTATCCTTAAATTTGATGGTATTTTTCATTCCTGAATTAGAAATATCCACTATTGAAACATCAGATGCCCTTGGATTCAGCTGAAATAGCTATATATTGTGTTCCTTCTGTTGGAGTTCCATAATTGCAATGATCATGAGCAATTAGGTTGGAAATGAACACAGATAAAAATCTAAAACAATTGAAATTATTCAATTTATTTGTTATTTCTTTTCTAAGGTGGGTGATGGCATAAATGATGCACCCTCTTTGGCCCTTGCTGATGTCGGGATTGCTCTGCGGATTGAAGCTCAGGAAAATGCTGCCTCTGATGCAGCATCCATTATACTTCTCGGAAATAGGCTCTCACAAGTATGTTCTCTCTCACCTGTCAATGGCATTGTGGCAGGATTCATGTTTTAGCATATAACATTAATCATTCTGTTAGTAACACTCAAATTTGAGACTTCCTCCTGGCAGGTAGTAGATTCACTGGATCTTGCACAAGCAACAATGGCAAAAGTATATCAGAACTTATCATGGGCAATAGCATATAATATTGTTGCAATCCCCATTGCAGCTGGTGTGCTACTTCCAAAATTTGATTTTGCAATGACACCTTCACTTTCTGGTAAATAAAGTTGAATAAAAACATAAGCCTCACCTCCTTTATATGATTCCTGCTAAATATGCTTTTCACTTCACAATCTTTGAAAGACTAAACCTTTTTCATCATGATGTTTGGATAACAGGGGGTCTAATGGCCTTGAGCTCAATTTTTGTTGTCACCAATTCATTGCTTTTACAACTCCATGGATTTGAGAGGAGCAAGAAGAGCAATCTTTTGCACCGTATTAAGGTGCCGGACAGCTCAAGCTAATTCTTCTCTTGGAGAATGCAATTGGTCTACCGTGGATGAGTAGTTGCTTCTGCAGTTTTTCCCATTTGCATGTAACTGGAGAGCCTACCAAATTGTGACATCTTTTAAGTTATATACCCTACTTGAGTGAATATCTAAACGTGTATGTAATTGTCAAAGTTTTTGTCATCTTCGATATTGTTTGCGATAATAATGAAGCATGTCATGTACCTGAAATTGTCGAGAAGTCTGAACCGGCTATGCTTGTATGGTTCTGTACTTGTTATTACAAAGAGTGTCCTGTTATTTGTCTGATGAAAAAATTATGTTTACATCAGAAAAGAGAAGCCAAACTAAGTGGGGGGTTCACTTTTAAGTGTAAACTGTAACACAAAGGTAGCAATTACATATTTTTCCTTATTTCCAAAATCAGTGAGAATAAACTAACAAGTATAACCTCGAAACTAAACTCTCTGGTGGTGAATTATACTTAGGGTTTGTTTAGAGTTGCTGTAGAGTGTTACGACTATAATTGTGGTTATAATTGTGTTGAATTATGTTGTTTTGTAATTGTAGTTGAGAGTTATTATGTTATTTAGTTATTTATTTTTAAAAAATATTATAAATGAAATATGATATATTTTATTACTTATTAATTAAAATTTTA